CCCATTTTTTATGATCCAAACCAGAAAGACTAAACTCAACACAGCAACTCATCATTTGCTCTTAGGTCGTGACCTTCAATAAAAACCTTCCAGCTGCCAGCAAAGGCTGAAGCTGTCAGTTAAGAGTCATTCACCTCAGGAGAGAGTTACAGAGGACCACTTGAGTTTCCTTAAAAGAAGAACAAGTAGGGACAGGGTAATTTACTCTGTAAACTTCAGAAGCCTCTGAACACATAAGTAACAAGATCTTTGCAGTCTTGTGGGTGAAGTCAGCCTGGCTTTTGGAAGAAATACAATGTAAAGATGCCAGTGAGTGCAAAAGACAGCAGCAGTGGGGATTTGGTGGGAGGCCCAAAGGGACAGATATTTTAATCATATTTGTGTACATGTCAGAGCACTTATCAGCCTGTTCTGCATTTGCTCTGGTTACATATTTTAGAGAGTAATTTCATTCACCTTCTAGACATAAAATTTATAGTTCAAATAAAATCATGAACTGGTTAAGATAAGGTTATGAGTCTTCACCAACAAATCAATCCTACTTTAAAGGCCTGAATGCTGACACTTGGGCCTCAAATGCTCACTAGGAATGGATACTGCCTATCATTTAACAAGCTATTTCCCCAAAGTGCATGCAAATACACATTTCAGTGAAATATTCCTTTTCTTAATGGGTGGCTCCTTTGCTGTTGGCTGCAGGTAATAAAAATCCAATCCAAAGCAGCTCATATAAGAGGGTTTAATTCCTCACACAGCAGGAAGTCCAGAGGTTTTTGGTTCCAGTGTCAATCATCAGTGGCTCAACCATATCATTGGTTTGGCCAAGAGCTCAGGTTGTGGAATGAAACTGTTTGGATTAGAAAGGCAGCCCTGCCATTTAACCACTCAACACTTTAGCCTCAAATTTGCCTTCTGTAAAATGAGAGAATGTTCTTTCTGCTATAACAAAATGCCATAGGTTGAGTGGCTTATAAGCAACAGACATTTATTTCTCATGATTCTGGAAGCTGGGAAGCGTAAGATCGAAGCACCAGTAGATTCAGTATCTGGTGAGGGCCTGCTTCTTGGTTCATAGATGGCTGTCTTTTCACTGTGTCTTCACATGGTAGAAGGGGTGGGAAAGCTCTCTGAGGTCACTTTTATAAGGGCACTAATCTCCTTAAGGGCAGTTCTGCCCTTATGACCTAATCATCTCCCCAAACCCTATCTCCAAACATCACCACATGGAGATTAGGTTCCCACATGTGAATTTTGAAGGGAGGGGACAAAAACAGTCCATGGCAGGTAGTAATAGCACTTGAGGGTTATGAGGATTGAATAAAGAAATTTGCACAAATCATTTGACAAAGTGCTGGGTATACAGTAAGTACTCATCAAATGGTAGCTAATATTGTTACCAATAAATGTTAGCACCCCATCTTTATACTCTGAAGTCCCAGCGCAACAGTGTGAATTTCTCACTTGGTCACTTGGATGAATGCAGTAGTCCCTAGCATCCACAAAGAAGAAAGATTTCTCCCTCTAAGGGAGAAAATCTTTCCTAGAAGCTCCTAAGTTTCTCAAACTATCTAAGGGGAAGAACCAGTTCACTTTTCATTTGCTCAAACCACACACAAAAAAGAAACTCAAAATGACTTAAAGACTTAAACATAAGACAACACAAATCTCCTAGAAGAGAACACAGGCAAAACATTCTCTGACATAAATCATAGCAATGTTCCCCTAGGGAAATATACCAAGGCAATAGAAAAAAAGTAAAAAATAAGCAAATGGGACCTAATTAAACTTATAAACTTTTGCATAGCAAGGAAACGATAAACAAAACATAAAGACAACCTACAGACTGGGAGAAAATATTTGCAAATGATAAGGCTGCCAAGGGCCTAATTTCCAGAATATTTCAGTAACAATAAAACAAACAATCTAATAAAAAAAATAGGCAGAAGACCTAAACAGACATTTCTCCAGTGAAGACATCCAGATGGCCAAGAGGCACATGAAAAGATTCTCAACATCACTAATTATCAGAGAAATGCAAATCAAAACTACAATGAAGTATCACCTCACACCAGTCAGAATGGCCTTCAGTAAAAAGTCCACAAATGATAAATGCTGGAGAGGGTGTGGAGAAAAGGGAACCCTCCTACAATTTTGGTGAAAATGTAAATTTGGTGCAACCACTATGGAAAACACTGTGGATATTCCTTAAAAAGCTAAAAGCAGACTTATCCTATGACCCAGCAATCCCACTCCTGGGCATATATCCGGATTGAGTACTCCAGTTCAAAATATACATGCACCTCAATGTTCACAGCAGCACTATTTACAATAGCCCAGGCATGGAAGCAACCTAAATGTCCATCCACAGATGACTGGATAAAGATTTGTGGCATGCATATGTGTGTGTGTGTGTGTGTGTGTGTGTGTGTTTACAGTGGAATGTACTCAGCCATGAAAAATAATGAAACAATGTCATTTGCAGCAACATGGATGGACCGAGGGATTATCATACTAAGTAAAGTAAGTCAGACAGAGAAAGAAAATATCATATGATATCACTTACATGTGGAATCTAAAAAAACTGGCACAAATGAACCTATTTACAAAACAGAAACAGACTCAGACACAGAAAACAAATTTATGGTTCCCTGGGTAGGGGAGAGGAGAAGGGTGAGACAAATTGGGAGTTTGGGATTAGGAGATATAAGCTGCTATACATAAAATAGATAAACAACAAGGTCCTACTGTATAACACAGGGAACTATATTTGATATCTTGTAATAACTTATAATGAAAAAATATCTGAAAAGAAATATATATAAATATATATATATGAAACCTAATCACTATGCTGTACACCAGAAACTAACACAACATTGTAAATTGACTATACCTCAATAAAAAAGAGCCAGTTCGTTTTTTCCAATCCATCATGAACCATTAGTTTTGTGAAATACAATAGAAGTCAATTACTAGATAAATGAAATTTTTAAAAAGATATTCCAAAATGTCAATTCCAATTATTTGTCATTATTATTATTAGATTCAACAAGCATACAATAATTTAATTAAATTGCTGTAAAAGTTTCTACATGTAGCAAGCAATGCAAGTCCACAAAGCAATACCACATTCTGTGTTATTCTGTCTAAGCAGTCATCCCTATAGTTCCCGGTGGTCAGGGATGGGTCACATAACTAGGTTCAACCAATCTCTGCCCTAGAAAAACCTCCATGGCATTGGTTGCATTCCATTTAACACACATACACAATACCTACCATAGTCAAACACCTGAATAGGCAGCCTGTGATATGTTCCATGTGGTGGGGCAAGTGGCATGCTATGGGAGAATAGACTCAAAATAATATCATTTTCTTTTTAATGGCTTTTTAAAACAGGTTGGGTTCAAGCTGAATCTTGGCTGATGCTGTGTATGGCTTTGACATGGCTATATGGGAGGAGTGTCCTAGGCAGAGGCAATAATGACTTGGAGCCTAGGAGAGGGAAAGTTGTTCAGGATACAGAGAGATGTTTCAAAGTAAAACCAAAAAGTTACTTAAACACATATCTTTAGGGCAGAAAACAGGCAGAGTAATGCCTGCCAAAGATGTCCACAACCGAACCTGTAAACCAGCTCTCTAGATTCTGAAGGGCACTCCTTTCACCAAGAATTGTTAAAAGGAAGTTTGATGGAGTGGTCAGGACTTCAGAGTGCGATAAACCAGCTTTAACTTTTAACTTTGTTACCTACGACTGTGTGTCCTTGAAGAACTTATTTAACTTTTTTGAGCCCTAGTCTCCTTAACTTATAGTCTGTGATAAAAATATCTACCTCTCAGGATAGTTTTAAAAAGTTAAATCATTTTTTTGTGTGCACATAGTAAGTGCTTAATATAGGGCAACTATTATTGCATATGTCTTGAGTTTTACCATACAGGAAAAGTAAGGGTCAAACAACTTCAAACTCTCTTCAGGCATTGCTGATGGCTGCATTCATGACCCCTCAAAACAGTGTATTTCAGTCAGTGAGTTCATATAGTATGCTGATTTTGATATTTATTCTACCTAGATATGTTTATTCTATTATGTGCCAGGTATAGAGAAATACAGAACTGAGTAAAATCTAGTCACTTCCCTCCAGGGAAGCTCCCAGCCCAGTGGACAGTGTTTCCCAAAGTGAGAGACACTAGGAACCCTGCTCTGTGGAATGAGAGGGAATTTCAGGTGAGTCACATACATAGCACAACGTGGTATCAGCACACAGTGAAAAATCCCTCCTTGTCCAGTTTCACGTCTGTTCTTTGGATTACACTTAGGAGAGTCTCAGTTTCATGCCAGTCTGTCTCACACCTTTCGATCTCTGACTAATCTCAAATAAAGAACAAGTCTCAGGCTGCCAGCCTTTGACAGGGAACGGGGTTCTTCTGGAACCAAAAACTATCATCTGATCATCTCTTTGGTGTATCACCTATAGAAGTAATTTTAAGCTTCTTTGCAAATTTTAAAGATGACTATTTTAAAGAAGTTTAAAGCAATGAGAAAGTAATAGTACAAATGAAAGGCTGACATGTCAAAAATCATGAAAGTTGAACACAAATGGTATTCGACAAACCCTGTGTAAGTAAATAACAACATGAAAACATGTTTTCAAGGCTTAGTGATGAAGACTGAGATTCATGCTGGGCAAAAGGAAGACATAGATGGGTGTGATCAAATTCGGCTGAGTCACAGAACACCTTGCAAAGCAAGGGGCTACTTTAGTTTCAAAAATACATTTTGATGAGAGTTTCAGAACGTGGAGAGGAGAGGGGAGCATTCTAAGCAGAAACAACAGTGTGTTCATAGCACTGTCTGTTAGAGAAACTGGTCTAAACTACATGCTTATTAAAAAAGAGTTCTGCTTTGTAAATGCAATCACCACCACATCCATGGGAAAAGTCATACATGTATGTGTGTGCCACTTAAAATACAATAATTAGTTTTAAAACACCAGAGCATATAAGCATCTTTCTATTTTATGATTCTGTAAACAGTATTTTACACTAAGTGGTCATGACTTCCCTTTACTTGAAGACTTTTTTTTTTCTCCCATGAACTATGCTTTAGCCTTGTTCTTTGCTTAAGTCTATTTTTTAAAGTGAAAAATGTTTGATAAACTGGCCTAGAAGAAACAAGGGTTGTTTGTCTGCTAGGTGGGACTGCAAAAGGAAAGCATAGCACAGTCTTTCCAATCATTCAGTTTCTTTCTTCTCAAAGTAGGGAAATGAGAAGGCAGAATTTAGTGCATCCTTAGATGTCATCCTTTACTACGTAATAAGCTGCATGCCACACAGATGGAATTCTTCCATTGTGACCTGTGGGAGGACACATTGTTAGTTTAAAATAGAATATCATGTTCCTTCATAATTAAGAATAGTCATTATATGTATTTGTCTCTTCAAGACTATTTTTAAGGACAAAATATTTTGTTGTCTTTTCTGAATCCGTATTTCGAATAGAAAGAAATTCAGTTAAAATTTTTGTTGATAAATGATAGGATAAAAAAAAAAAGAAAAAGCAGAAAGAACCTCACGTATTTGAATCTGAAGAGCCTGAGGCTATGGTGTGGGATTGTTTCCTCCAGAGAAGATTCCCACTTGGGTCCTGGAGCTGGTTTCTGTGGAGTGAGGTAATGTTTATAGGAGGAAAAAATCTCTGTGCTCTGGCCCAGATTTAACGTGCAAACTCAGTAGTCATGAGCTCAAGCTTAGACCACACACAGCTCAGACTTTTAAGTCTAGACAAAGGACTTCATTCACCAGGTGTTGGTGTTCTCTCCTTTTAAATCGGGTATGGCAACACTTTCCTGGTGAGGAAGTGCATGCAAAGAACTTAGCACAGTGTCTGACAAAGAGCCCCTGCTGAGTAAATGCTGACTATTGCTATTAGTGAACTTTACAGCAGAATAAAACCCCAGTGTCTCAGCAGAGCTCCAGAAACCAGACTGCTTACTCCAGTAAAGGAGGTGGGACTTTCTGCAGTGGCAGGAGGCAGGAGAGGAAGAAGCTTTCTGATCAGACTAGTGATGCAAAATAAGCAAACAAACAAAACCCCCAAATCCTTAAAATCAGTCCTTTAAATACAAGAGAAAGGTTTTAGCACTTTGGTCCTAGCTGTAAGTCAGCAGCCCTGTAAGATGAGGTTCTAGAGGCAATATTTCCATCTTTCCCCTTGAGTGACAGTCTCACTTACAAATGACTGTACTCCACTGAAGATTCATTAACTTGTTTCTGCAAGTCTCTGCTCTTTACTATCAAAACGCAACATTGGCCAAATTAAGGCTCTATTATTCAATTCAGTTCAATGTACTCTCCTGAACATCCACTATGT